TGTTACTTTTCTTTGTGTTTGTAGGTATAAGTGACGCCCGTTTTGTCTCAATTTCACTCTCCGTGTGGCTTGCAAACCGTTTCGCCATTTTGTTCATTGTTGACATTAGCAGACGAACGTTCTCCGGTGTGTTCGATTCGAATCTGCGAGTTATCTCCCTTACAACAGGCGCGCGTGCTCTTATGTACCCCGGCAAGGATACTAACATAGCTTCAGGTACCTTGGCAATTCGACCAATCACCGTGCGACATTTTTCTTTGCAGTATGACAATAGGTAATGTCTGAGACTGTTGTCTGACATGTTCCATAGTGACCATGTGTAGACCTGGTATACTAGGTAGTGTGTGAGACTGTTGTCTGACATGTTCCATAGTGACCATGTGTAGACCTGGTATACTAGGTAGTGTGCGAGACTGTAGTCTGACATGTTCCACAGTAACCCTATATAGACCTGGTATACTAGGTAGTGTGTGAGACTGTAGTCTGACATGTTCTACAGTGACCCTATATAGACCTGGTATACTAGGTAGTGTCTGCGACTGTAGTCTGACCTGTTCCACAGTGACCCTATATAGACCTGGTATACTGGGTAGTGGCTGCGACTGTAGTCTGACATGTTCCACAGTGACCCTATATAGACCTGGTATACTAGGTAGTGTGTGCGACTGTAGTCTGACATGTTCTACAGTGACCCTATATAGACCAGGTATACTGGGTAGTGTCTGCGACTGTAGTCTGACATGTTCCACAGTGACCCTATATAGACCTGGTATACTGGGTAGTGTCTGCGACTGTAGTCTGACATGTTCGACAGTGACCCTATATAGACCTGGTATACTAGGTAGTGTGTGAGACTGTAGTCTGACATGTTCTACAGTGACCCTATATAGACCTGGCATACTAGATAGTGTGTGAGACTGTAGTCTGACATGTTCTACAGTGACCCTATATGGACCTGGTATACTAGCTAGTGTGTGAGACTGTAGTCTGACATGTTCTACAGAGACCCTATATAGACCTGGTGTACTGGGTAGTGTCTGCGACTGTAGTCTGACATGTTCCACAGTGACCCTATATAGACCTGGTATACTAGGCAGTGTCTGCGACTGTAGTCTGGCCTGTTCCTATCTATATGATCTATTATAAAACTTCTTTATAACGCCACATTTCCCCTGGAAATAGTAATTGCATCATACCGTTTAAATGTCCACTGCTGGTGGGTAATATTGCGCACTTAATGAATACAATGATCTAGTGAATAACCAAAAAGACCTACCCCTGTGGTGACCAGAATGTGATGTTATATCCCCCTCATATTTTTGCATGTTTTAGATCGGATGATACATTGTTCACTATAAGTTCAGGCTGATAACATGTTGTTAGTGTGTAGAAGGTACAATGCAATTGAACCGATTGACCCCTGTTGCTGTTAAAATTTCAACAACTTCGGACTTCAGCAAGGCTACTATGTGTTCAGGTATTAGTGCGCAATATAACCGGAACAGGTTACATATATACTATAAATATATCAGGTTACATATACTATAAATAAATATATGTATATTGTAAAAGCAGAAAAATGATCCTGACAGACGAAGAAATAATATAAAAAGAAAAATCTCAACTACGAGTCTTTAGTATACTATCTCCTTGAAGAGATGAAAGTACTCAAGCCTTATTGTTGAGAATATCTTCTTTATATATATATATCTATCAAATGTACAACTTCAGTTTCATTCCTTGTACTGAACTGTTTTTTTTTTTCAGAAACTGAGCAGAAACTCATCGATGAATATAGCAAGGTCACCATGGGAATCAAATACGCGGTAGATAAAGCAACAGGGAAATGGACAGTGTCTGTATTAGTCAAAGGAGATGTTATAAAATCGACTGAATTTGAGTTGGGAAAAGAGTTTGAAACAAAAGGTTTGGATGGAAAAGTATATAAGGTGAGAATTTACGTTACTAACGATCTGTGTTATCGGGTTTTTAATGGCTAAGTCTAAACGCATATAATCTATTTGTAATGAAACAAAACTTTTTCTACATTTCTACAATCAGATATGCAATTGTTGCAATTCATCTTTGGCCAGTTTGAATGAAAGCGTTGGGACACATTTCATTAACAAGAGGCCCATGGGCCTTAACGGTCACCTGATATATTTATACAGAGAGTTGATTTTGCTTTTAACATGAACAGAACTATTTTTCAAAGTGATAAAAAAACAATAAAAGCACCTTATTCAATATATCGCATACAGATTTAAGACTGAAAAGTATTTGAAACTAGCACCTCTGATTATAAACAAGGAAAATGAAGAAATTTTAGCACACTGACTCCTTTAGGACCCACTCTACAGCCCTTGGGGGTCACTCAAAATTTTCAAAGTATCAAACTGTCAACTCAGGGTTATAATTCCAAGCAAGTTATTAACATGTAATATTCAAAGTATCATTTGCTATTATAATCCATAATACATTTTGCCCCCCCCCTCCTTCATCAGGGGGTAAACGTGAGACCCTAGGGTCATAAACCTTAAGACCCTTCCGTCTATGAAGAGTATTTGATTCTACTATATCTGGGTCTTTGAGAAGAAGATTTTTTACATTTCAGTCAATTCGACCCTTTTTGGCCCCACCCATCAGCCCCTGGAGGTCAATCAGGGCTGATATGTGCATAACATCAAACTGCTATCCAATACTGATAATGCTAACCCAAATTGAATTACTTCCAATGGAAACAAATGTTGGTCCAAAATGTGATTTCCCTATATAAACTAAAGTAAAATTTACCCCCTCCCCAGGGCGAAACGTGAGACCCCAGGGTCATGAAATTCACAATTTTGTTAAAGCACCTAAAGACCCTTCCATCTATGAAGAGTATTTGATTATACCATATCTGGGTCTTGAGAAGAAGATTTTTGAAATTTTAGTCAATTTGACCCTTTTTGGCCCCGCCCCTCAGGCCCCTGGGGGCTGGGGACCAAATCAGCCACTATTTTTGTTGACCTTTGGCCATGGAAGGTTTCTGCAAAATTTCATTGAAATAAAGGTCGATGCTTTTTTTACTCTCATTAGTTCAACTTTTTATTTTTGTGTGGCCACTCTGATTCTCGCTTTGAGGACGTGACTTTATTTGGATTTGACCAAGATTTACATAACGGATGTCGTCAATGAAACAGAAGACTCTTACGTTTATGGAACATCTGCTCTTTTTATCCTGGTATTTTTGAAAGGGCCTCCATAGACTTTTTAACCTTTGTATGTTGCTCGTTTTTAACCTAGAATATGAATCTTCAGAACTCTCTCCTTTTTGTTCAAGTGCGAAACAACGATGAATGGTTGCGAGTCGGAAGAATCAGCAGTCCCAACAGACGGTAGCAGTCCGGGGACAAAGACAAAACGATCTATAAAGGATGACATCATGACTGTCGTAAGTGATTCAGATGAATAGCATATTCCTTTAACTTGAGAATTCGACGGAAAAATCTGCAACCCGGAGAGTAAATATTTTACTTGCCTAGCCCGAGAATCTGCCGAGGGTTTGACTACCAAATTATTACCTCGAGGGTTGTAGATTTTCTGTTGCACCTTTAGTAAGGGGTTGATTATTTTTTCCCGTCACACTATATATATATATATATATATATATCAGTCACAACACCTTCGATAGTAGTCTGGCATATTTGTAAACAAAAGCACGTGTGGCGTATCCATATCGCCATTCACGTTTTAATGACGTCACAATTTAGCGCATATTATTCTGTACGAGGATATATTCCACTAGGGTTGTCAAACTAATTTTAGGCAGGGCGGGAGAAATCATATGACAAAAGAAATCAGAGTTTTTGTTGGTTGTGACGTCATTTTTCTTTGACGACACCCAACTCGGTCAAATCTGTATGCTTTCAATTAAATCAGTTATACTGAAATGTTCTACATTGTGCCTGTCTATACAGTACTAGTGAAGGTATATATATATGATCATCAGATATACAAATCCAATAAGGGTTTTTTTCCAGCAAGGGGCACATAATGGCAAATGCCGATCGATTGAATAGTGTAAAATAGCCACAACAAGATAGTATACACTTTTGTTGATGCTGCTGTTGTTTTCGCGATGGTTGGTTATAATGGTTGAACGACTATGCACGTCTTTTTGAGTTTAAGCATGTTTATGAAAAGAAAAAAAAAGTTATGAAAAATTAAATGACGAAAATCCATCAGGTAATCAAACGTTATCTATTCAACTACACTAACAACATACTGCTGGTTTCATTTTACTATGGTCTAATTCGATTGGAAAATAAATAAATAAAGTGATTTGGAAATTACATGACATTGTTATATTATAAGATGGTATATATTTTCTTAATGAAAATTAATTTTGTTTTCAGAAATCATGGAAGGCTGACGATGAGACAGTTTTCATGCTATCTACAATGAAAAGGAAGTAGAAATGCTATGAGCAAAAGAAAAATATTGAAGAAGCTCGGCAAGCAGAAGATCTATCGCTGTGACTAGCGATTAGATGTCGGCCACAAATAAGGAAACTGAAAGTGAAATTATTCAAAGAATATTCAATGAACACCCGAGTAGGAAACTGTACGACAAACGATGCAGTCATCGGGCCGTGAAATGAAATAATGAGGGGATATGGAACGGATTCATTAAATGTTTAAATTTCGTCAGTTTTGCTCCAACGCTTTCGTTCACATGGCTTTCAATGAAATAAAATTCGGAAATGCATTTGTTTTTGTCTATTATTATGAAGTTCCAAAATGACATTAGATACAAAAAAACTCTTGGCCCGGTATTAATGAACACCTCCTCATGCTCAAACTTTGATCACTTTTGAATATCTCTGTTGAAACTTGATTTTAGATGATGTCGTAAGATATACAGGTGAATCGACCGTGTTTTACAAGAGGAAAAAATGTAAACTAGTGATTTTCAGCATTTTAATTTCGGTCAGGCACGTCTCGCCCCGTCGATGAACATGTGTCAAATTTTCTAGATGTCACTCTCGGTTCATATCTGAGCCTGCCGTTCTCCTTTCAGCATTAGCTGGTTGAAACCGTTGAACTAGCAACGCAAAATGATTTGTTCAGGTCTTTATTCTTTTCCTGATAAATTACATAAAATCACATATTGTCAATGATTCTAAAGAATTTAGAGAGACTATAAGCTGAATGCAGTATTCTATGTTATGTTTACGCTTGACAAGTTGAGCACAAAATCAAAGTCGAAGCATGATAAGTATGTGTTCATGGGTTCAGGAAGTGTTTTTTTGCGGTTTAGCGTCCTTGCATCATCCAAGGTCACAAGAGGACGGTGCCTTGGGAGACACCGTCTGAAACAGAATGCAGTTAGAAAAAAAGGCAGTAAACAGGAACCGGAAAGGATCTCAAGGGGGGAGGCGATCCATTTTGGTCTCTTCTATGTCCCCTTCCATGTCCCCTTCTATGTCCCCTTCCATGTCCTCTTCTATGTCCCCTTCCATGTCCCTTTCTATGTCCCCTTCCATGTCTCTTTCTATGTCCCTTTCTATGTCCCATTCTATGTCCCCTTCCATGTCCCACTCCATTGTCCTCTTCTATGTCCTCTTCCATGTCCCCTTCCATGTCCCCGTCTATGTCCCCTTCCATGTCCCCTTCCATATCCCTTTCTATGTCCCTTTCTATGTCCCTTTCTAAGTCCCTTTCTATGTCCCTTTCCATCTCCTCTTCTATGCCCCCTTCCATGTCCTCTTCTATGTCGCCTTCCATGTCCCGTTCTATGTCCCCTTCCATGTCCCCTTCGATGTCCCCTTCCATGTCCCCTTCGATGTCCCTTTCTATGTCCCCTTCCCTGTCCCCTTCCATGTCCCTTTCTATCTCACCTTCCATGTCCCCTTCCATGTCCTCCTCTATGTCCCCTTCCATGTCCCCTTCTATGTCCATGTCCTCTTCTATGCCCCCTTCCATGTCCCTTTCTATGCCCCTTTCTATGTCCCTTTCCATGTCCTCTTCTAGGTCCCTTCCATGTCCCCTTCCATGTTCCTTTCTATGTCCCTTTCTATGTCTCTGTCCATGTCCTCTTCTATGTCCCCTTCTATGTCCCTTTCCATGTCCTTTTCTATGTCCCCTTCTATGTCCCATTCCATGTCCCTTTCTATGTCCCCCATGTCCCTTTCTATGTCCCCTTCCATGACCCCTTCTATGTCCCCTTCTATGTCCCTTTCTATGTCCCATTCTATGTCCCCTTCCATGTCCCTTTATATGTCCCTTTCTATGTCCCTTTACATGTCCTCTTCTATGCCCCCTTCCGTGTCTCTTTCTATGTCCCCTTCCTTGTCCCCTTCCATGTCCCCTTCCATATCCCTTTCTATGTCCCTTTCTATCCATGTCCCCTTCCATGTCCCCGTCTATGTCCCCTTCCATGTCCCCTTCGATGTCCCCTTCCATGTCCCCTTCTATGTCCCTTTCCATGTCCTTTTCTATGTCCCCTTCCATGTCCACTTCTATGCCCCCTTCCATGTCCTCTTCTATGTCGCCTTCCATGTCCCATTCCATTGTCCTCTTCTATGTCCTCTTCCATGTCCCTTTCTATGTCCCTTCCTATGTCCCTTTCTATGTACCTTTCCATGTCCTCTTCTATGCCCCCTTCCATGTCCTCTTCTATGCCCCCTTCTATGTCCCCTTCTATGTCCCCTTCTATGTCCCATTCCATGTCCCTTTCTATGTCCCATTCTATGTCCCCTTCCATGTCCCACTCCATTGTCCTCTTCTATGTCCTCTTCCATGTCCCTTTCTATGTCCTTCCATGTCCCTTTCTATGTCGCTTTCCATGTCCTCTTCTATGTCCTCTTCCATGTCCCCTTCCATGTCCCCGTCTATGTCCCCTTCCATGTCCCCTTCTATGTCCCTTTCTATGTCCCATTCTATGTCCCCTTCCATGTCCCTTTATATGTCCCCTTCCATGTCCCCTTCCATGCCCTCTTCTATGTCCCCTTCCATGGCCCCTTCCATGTCCCTTTCTATGCCCCTTTCTATGTCCCTTTCCATGTCCTTTTCTATGTCCCCTTCTATGTCCCATTCCATGTCCCTTTCTATGTCCCCGTCCATGTCCCCTTCCATGTCCCTTTCCATGTCCCCTTCTATGTCCCCTTCCTTCCATGTCCCCTTCCATGTCTCTTTCTATGTCCCTTTCTATGTCTCTGTCCATGTCCTCTTCTATGTCCCCTTCAATGTCCCTTTCTATCTCCCCTTCCATGTCCCCTTCCATATCCCTTTCTATGTCCCTTTCTATCCATGTCCCCTTCCATGTCCCCGTCTATGTCCCCTTCCATGTCCCCTTCTATGTCCATGTCCTCTTCTATGCCCCCTTCCAGGTCCCCTTCTATGTCCCCTTCCATATCCTCTTCTATGTGCCCTTCCATGTCCTCTTCCATGTCCCCTTCCATGTCCCTATCTATGTCCCTTTCTATGTCCCTTTTTATGTCCCTTTCCATGTCCTCTTCTATGTCCCCTTCCATGGCCTCTTCCATGTCCCCTTCCATGTCCCTATCTATGTCCCTTTCTATGTCCCTTCCTATGTCCCTTTCTATGTACCTTTCCATGTCCTCTTCTATGCCCCCTTCCATGTCCTCTTCTATGCCCCCTTCTATGTCCCCTTCTATGTCCCCTTCTATGTCCCATTCCATGTCCCTTTCTATGTCCCTTCCTATGTCCCTTTCTATGTACCTTTCCATGTCCTCTTCTATGCCCCCTTCCGTGTCTCTTTCTATGTCCCCTTCCTTGTCCCCTTCCATGTCCCCTTCCATGACCCTTTCTATGTCCCTTTCTATGTCCCTTTCCATGTCCTCTTCTATGCCCCCTTCCATGTCCCCTTCTATGTCCCCTTCCATATCCTCTTCTATGTCCCCTTCCATATCCTCTTCTATGCCCCCTTCCATGTCCTCTTCTATGTCCCCTTCCATGGCCTCTTCTATGTCCCCTTCCATATCCCTTTCTATGTCCCTTTCCATGTCCTCTTCTATGCCCCCTTCTATGTCCCCTTCCTTCCATGTCCCCTTCCATGACCCTTTCTATGTCCCCTTCTATGTCCCCTTCTATGTCCCCTTCTATGTCCCCTTCCATGTCCCTTTCTATGTCCCTTTCTATGTCCCCTTCTATGTCCCCTTCCATGTCCCCTTCTATGTCCCCTTTGTAGAGGACACAGAAGAGAACTCCCGATTCTGCAGCCCCACATTAGTCGCCTTTTACGATATGTAGTGGGACACAACACGTGTATTCTTGATTTCCTCAATGTAATCAGACAGAGAATGTATGTCCTTTCTTCTATTTGCTTGTTTAATCTAAAGAGATACAAACAAAACAACAAAAAATAATGCTAAAACCTTGATATTCCATTTTTGCTTGATGTTAACAATCACTTTTCAAATAGATGTAATTGGTGGTTGGTAGTTATAATTATTGATGTCGAGTAAAGTAATTACTTCAAACAATGACGTCACAATATCAACGAAATCGAGGATGACGGGTCAAATATTTTGAAAGGTTATAAACAGTTATTGGTAAATATTTATAAATTTATTATAACTTTAGCTTACAATACATAGAAATAATCGTAATGAATAGTATTTCGAAAAGATAGCTAAGATTTGGTTTGGTTTGGTTTATTTTGTTTACCGTCATAGTAACACCTAATGTAATTAAGGACGTGCCTCCGTGTATGTTGTGTAAGCATGCGTGTATGTGTGCTGGAGACGGGATATGTTAGTGTACTTGCCTACTTGTAATAGCGCGGATCTGATGCCGACTTTATAGTGCTATCTTACTGAAATATCATGCCGAAGGCAACCAGAACAGCATTCCGTCTGGTAAGTCCTGACAACGGGTGAACCAGTAGTTGCCATTCCCCTAAATGCTGAACGTTAAGCAGGGAATTACAACTACCATGTTTAAGGACTTTGGCATGTCCCGGCCTGGGGACAGAACCCATTGCCTTCCTCACCTGGGCGAACGTCAAAAAAGAGGTGCTGCCAAGCAAGGCGTTAGGAAATAAAAGGTAGTTACATGTAGAAGCAGAAAGAAAGATGAAGATCCCTCAAAATTGCAATGGGTGAAGCAGGTTTTTTTTGGTCGTTTTGTGTCCTCAAATAGAAATCCCCAATTCTGCAGGGAGTTCAAACAGGGGTGCGTCTTGTGGTAAACCAGTTGTCCTAATTGTGGAAGGTTAAGTACACTGTAGGGAATAACAACTAACAAATATCATTTTTTACGACTTTTGTATGTCCCGGCATGGGGACAGATCTCATAGCTCGCTTCAACCTCCTCCGTTCCGTGACCTGTAACCTCTTTTTAACTTCTACTGGTTTAAGACCGGAAGTGAGAAATAACAAAACACAACTAACGCACTTAACGCAGTACAGATGTGAAATGTATTTATACCACGATGCCGGTTACGAAAACACATGTCGATAAATTCCAAATGGATGCGCTTGTAATTTAAACAATATACCATATTATTTTTATGTGATATGAAATACCAATATTGTGTAACTGAAAAGCGACGCATAAGATACACATATAAGATTTATCGATATCAATTGTTTACATAGCACACGCGATTAGGATTACCTCCCTTTGGACAGTGGGCACAGTTTCGTTGCAAATGCCGATATACGCAGAGTCACAAGAGATTCCTGGAGCTAAAAATAAAAAAACCTTTATATATTGTTGCAATTTTCCTGTAGTTAAATACCTGTGCCGGTTTTGTCTCAATTTGATTGAACAGCTTGCAATGGTAAATTCCATATGGATCCGTACTACTGCCAAAAATGTTTTTCCGGCTTCACAATCGCTTTGATAAATTATTTCTGTAAAGAAAAGCATAACATGCGTGACTTTTGCGAGAGAAAAAAATGATGAAATGAACAAACCAATATCAGCAACAGTGTGTAAACGAGAAATAGACATCAGATTGTTATACTATCGCTCTAACCAACTGATATACCCGGCCATCGGAAGATTGGAGTGGTTTAGCTATGGTCATGTAAGGACGTGCCTCCATGTGTATAATATATGTGCATGCTTCCTTAGGAAAGCGCGGTTCTGATGCCGGCCCAATTGAAATAACTTGCCGAATGCACCCAGCACAGCAACGGGATAACCAATTGTTGTCACTAGTTAAAATGCTGAACGTTGTGCGGGGAAATAACGACTACCATTTCATAACTTTGGCATGACCCGGCCTGGGTAATCGTTCAGCATTAAAGCCAAAAGTAAGGTGTTGTCAAGCATAAGTCTATAGAAAATAAAAGGTAGTCAGAAATCAAAACAAAATATGAAGATCTCAAATATTGCAATGGGTGCAGCAGATCGTTTTAGTAAATGCCTCATTCTGCATGGGATTCGCTCATTAGTCGCCTTTTAAGATACCAATGAAGTGGGTGTATTCTGTTCTAAATCCCCAACCTGCAGCAGATCGAGTTTGGTTTCCTTAGACGACAAGGAAGAAACCACCCCCAATTCTGCAGGCGCCCCTCATTAGTCACCTCTTACGATCATACTTTCCCCGAACCTGTACAGGTTCCGTCCTCGCTTGGGCGAAAGTTCAAGTAAGAGGGCACACACGCCAGCCTCAATTATGCAGGATATGATTTAACATGAAGATGTTTTTATAACTTAAGATCGTTTAATTCTACACTCGCACGCTGACAACTATTTACAGCCCAGGTCACCCCTGCAGGTCGGGGGATTGAGTAAAGCTGTAACCCTAAGCATGTATTGGAAGAGGCGACTAATATGCGACACCCTGCAGCATTGGGATTTTGTTTTTGTGTCCTCCACTTGGGGATACAAAAGCGCCCAAAATAAATCTGCTACATATGTACACTCTCCGAAATATTTTGGATCTGTATATGTCTTTCTAAACTACCTTTCATTTCCTAGACTCTTGCTTGGCAAAACCTCAATTTTGGCTTTCGTGATGAGCCTCCGCCCAGGTGGGAAAGGCAAAGGGTTATGTTCCCAGGCCGGGACATACCAAAGTCCTTAAAAATGGTACTTGCTATTCCCTGCTTAATGTTCTGCTGTGCTTGGTGCCTTCGGCATAGTATTTCAGTGAGATAGCACTATAAAGTCGGCATCAGATCCGTGCTATGACCAGGAGGCAAATACACCATTATACCCTCCGACACACATAAGCGCATACATAACACACACGTCCTTAAATGAAGTATATATATTTATTAATTTTTTCATAGTTGTCACTATTGTTGACTGGTTCACCGTTGTCAGTATAATGTGTCCTGCTGGGTGTCTTCGACAGTTTGTTTCAGTGAGATAGCATTATAAAGTCGGCATCAGTTCCGCGCTATCACAAGGAGACAAACAAGAACATATCGCACCTCCCAAAACACACACGCATACACAATCTAATTAAAATCAGATCTCTCATTACACTACGTTATGGAGATCTGACGGAGCCCCATTGGAAACAGCGTTCCAGTGACATTTTCTAATAAGCATAGGTCATCCATTATCATCCAATGAGATTGATTTTCTCTCAGACGCTTGGATTGTTCGTAAACAAGATGGTGACAAAGGACGATGTAATAGATTCTGCATTTAGAAAGATCGTGAACAGGTTCAAAATAGAAAATCTGAAGAAGGAACAAAGAGGAATACTGGACTGTCTGTTGAATGGGAGAGACTGCATGGCAATTTTACTGACTGATTTCGGTAAATCTTTACCGTACCAGATGTTGCCTTCGGTGAAGCGCGAGATAACAGTTGGACAGGAGCTCGATTTATGCAAAGTTTTGATCTGTTCGCCGTTGGTGGGACTGATGGAGGACCAGGTGTCCAAGTTAAAAAATATCGAAGGGCTAACAGCTGAATATAAAGGTATATATATATGTATAGATGTTTCAAAATATCATTTGGGGTGTTGGTTATAGAGGGTATTTACCGAGATGGAGTTGAATTGACCCCTGTGACCTTGAAAGTCAAACAATATTATTACGTTTAAACAGCTATTAAAATTATTTCCAGTCAAATTTAACTACCTATATGTTACATCTAGCTCTCTTGGGTTATAAAAAATGCCTATATGGGTCCATTCTCTAGAAATAATGCCAATTTAAGGCCCAGTGCCCTCCATTTCGGTAACGAAGATCGTACCGTGAATTGCGTTATTTTGAAAAATTAATTTAAAATAGATGTAAACAAAATTAACGCCCAATTTTCTACGTATGACTCCAGTTGGTGACGAAGAATGCATATTAGGGCCCATTCTATTGCAATAATGCCAATTTAAAGCCCATTTCCCTCCATTTCGGTAATTCAACTCCGGTCCATTTTGGTAAATACCCGAAACCGAACATTTGCTATCACATCATCTGATGATAAAGTGATATAATCGGACAATGAGCTACGGCCCCGAATAAGTTGATTGGTAATTCGCAGGTATTGGCCTCGTTGAAAGACTGGTCGTCTTGTGAAGAGGCAACTACTTCTTGGTGGTGTTCATGTATTCAATTTTATATTAGTCTGCAAGATAGAAATGATAGATTTGTTATGCATTGGATTTCCATTTTTAATTATATATAAAAATAGTAGGGAGTCTTCTCATCTGCATATTGCTCCCCATATTGCTTCCTGAATTGTATGCATTGTATGTAGGAAAGAAGTTGGGGGACAGGGAGGAACAAATCAGAATAATAAATGGGTGTCTACGTACGATGATGATTAACATATAGGTATAGTGAGCGACAGAAAAATAATTGCATCAGAAATGGTGATGTAGACCTCATCTTTGCATAACCCGAATCCTTATTAGGAGATGTTCATTGGAGACAGCAGTTTCAGCAAATTTCGATTTGATTCCATACTATTGCTTCTTCGTAATTATTTTACTTATTCAAAATTTAAACAGATTTTAGATAGCAGCAAACTTTGTCTTCAGTCCCGCTTTGGCCTGTTCAGTTCTTGACAATCTAACTTTTCTAATCCACTTGCA